GGGGCCCGGAAACCAACGGGGAGGGGGGTGCTATCTGTTTATATATATATATATATATAGACAGATAGATAGATAGATAGATAGATAGATAGATAGATACATACATACACTTACAGGGATATTTAGGAAGATTTGGGTTTGCCTCCATTCTGGACGGCAGCCTCCGAAGCGGCTCCCAGAATCCTGCCATATGCGCAGGTCTTCCCAGCACCACCCGATCTGCTTGTTTCTTGGCAGCATCCTAAACCGTAAACCCTGCACACCTGAAATCATGAATCCGTGCCCGTCTAGTTTGATTGTACGAGTCGAGACCCTACATGGCTTTTTCGGGTCGACAGCATTGGTTTCGGTGAGGTTTGCTGTTTGATCTAACAGTTTTCGGGACTTGGGTTTATGAATTTCGGGTTTTGGGGTTTAGGGACTTCCGGCTTGGCGGTAGAGGGCGAGGGATTCAGGGATTTCGGGCTTAGGAACTGGCATGGTGTGTGCGGACAGAAGTCTGATGAGCGAACCTTATAACTATAATGAGGACCCCCCCCCCAAAAAAAAAAAAAGAAAAGTAGTGGTAGTTATTTCGGCCCCTAAACTAGGACTGTCGGCTCGCTCCGGAGTGTCGGGTTATCGGGTTACCATCCCCGGCCATTCATCCCGAAGCTTTCAAAGTTTGGGAGTTTCTTCAGAGAGACCTCGTTCAACAAGGATTTAGGGTGTAGGGTTTTGGTTTAGGGGCTCTGAGCCGTGTAAACCCTGAACCCTACTCTTCGGCCCATCAGAGATACACCCTAGATCCTAAACTAGAGACCCTCTGTGTTTTTCGGTTTTTTAAGAGTGGTAAGGGGAGGGGTGGCGTAACCGGGGTTATCGGCGCGAAAACGGGGGCTTGGGATTGCGGGGTTTACGGGCCAGAGATTCTGCAGAGCCTCAACTACGTCGCGAGCCCGAAACCTCCTTTGTTGGCACAATAGGGCTCCGAAGGGATGCAGGACCAAGAGACCGGAAATTTGTAGAGGTTCCAGGGGCTTTTGGCTTGGGGTCATCCTTGGAGCTGCTGTGCTTACTTTTCCTAGGTAGTAGTTAAAGGGAGACCCCTTTTCAGGGGACCCTTCTCAACCCTAGTTATGGCTCTCTTGAAAGGGGCCTTATTGAGAGGGCCTATATCCCCAAGGTTCCCCGAATCCTAAACCCTAAACCCCTAAACCCTTAACCCTTATAAACCCTAAAACTTATATATATATATATATATATATATATATTCCCAAGGTTCCCCCTAACCCTAACTTTGGCCGAGGATGGAGCCGATCGCTTGGCATTGAGCAGACTGGTTCGGCCAGCCGCAGGAACGGGCAGCAACTCCGAAGTGCTTCCATGAGCCGGTCTAGGTGTGCAGGATTAGCGGTTTAGGTTTTAAGGTAGACAAAAGCTATCATTTCAACGTTGACTCCTTTCAATGTGACCGGTGACAGTGACAGGATATGTATGTACGTATAACTTATATATAGATTCATTTCTTTCTTCATGGCAGATGACAGCTGGCCCTTGCAGCATAAACCTTGTCGACCTTGTGAAGGGCTTCCGAATCCCAACACCGAAATGGGTCCCAGATCCAAGGAGCTGTCCTAGCATTGAGCTTCACGATTGCACCCCATGGTCCTAACGAAACCCATCATTGTCGTTTTCGTCCTCCTGCTCACCATCATCATCAGCATCCTAAGTCAGCATCACGGTCGGTATCATCGCCAACATGAGCCGCATCATCAGAACAATTGCCGCCGGAAGCCTTCCCCTTATCATGGTCATCAAAGCTTCATCATCCTAATTACCATCGTGGTCGTCAGCACCCTCGCTCGTCACCACCACGCTAGTTGTCACTAGCAGCGAGCGGATTTTGTTGCCGCTGTTGTCGGCTCGTCGAGGCCACACCAGGAGGGAGGCACGGTGCCATGTATATCGGCCCATGGCAAGAGTACAAGCTGGCACGGCTGATACAACATCAGCATCAAGTCCTTGCTGCCGAGACAAGGGAGGTGAGAGGAGGAAGCCAGCAGGCATCCCCGTCTTCCTCCAGATCCGGCTTTTCGGGCTTCTCCAGCTGCAGTGCTCCAGCCCAGCTTCCGGGGCAGCCCTCCGTGCAGGTGCGTCTGAATGACTACTGCGATACTGTGGAGCGGCTGACTAAGGCCAACGACCGAAGGCCACCGAGGCCCCGACTTCCCAGCGGAAGCAGCACCGGCAGCACCCGGCCCTACAGCAGCAGCAGCCGAAACAGCGAGAAGGGCCCGGGGCTCGGATCTTCGAGCTCGGCGAGCTCCGTGGGCGCTTCGAAGCGAAGAGCGCCCGGGAAGCCGCCGAAGGCGGTCTCCTTCGAAGAGCAGCGACGAGCCCGAATCCGACACATGCAGAAGCTCTACGGCTTGGGCCAGGCGGAGACCGACACCAAGGACACAGCCTCAGCCTCCTTGGTCATCGAGCCCCAGAGCCAGAGACGAGGCCGAAAATCCACAGACTTCGAGGGAAGCCCCGGCCAGAATCAGCCACTAGGATGTTGAGTAGTACCCTTTTTTACTTTTTTGGGGGGTAGTGGTTCCCAATATGGTTACTGAACAGCTTAGGCCCTCAGAGCCGACATCACCCAAGTCAGAGGAGTGGACTTTGCCGACAGTGAAGGAAGCAGATCCACTTAGCTTGTCCATGGGCTCCTCGGGTGGACTCATTGCCTGGAGTAAAGGTCTGCAGCCGGATGCTCTGTCGCCACAGGCTTCCTTAGCAACGTTTTTCTCGGCGACATAATCGGCATGGCTTCGCGCTTGTTGTGTCCAAGTCTTGTATGTATTCCATGCTCTGCGCGTTCAGCTTGCCGAAGTTGACTGCCCCAGTTAATATAGGGGCCGAAATAATTACCTATACTATTTTGGGGGCTCCTTATTATAATTTTGGTATAATATACCCCCCCAAACCCTAGTCTAATCATTAATGCCCAGGTTTCACCCTCGGAGACGACCCACTTTCCTCCTAGCATGCATCCGCCCTGTGCTGTGATAGAAAAGCTGTTGACCCTTTTGCGCGATGGCCTCAGAGATTCACGTTCAAGGTGTCGAGGTTCGATGGGTCTCGCAAAGTTATGTTCATCCTGACTTCTGAGAATTCAATGAAGCAGCCTCGCATTTGTTTCGCCCACGGCTTTCTTTGAGTTGTCAAGCTTGCATCTGGGTTGGACTCCATAAACTCATAATATACTGACATACCCTAGAGCCCCCAAAACCCACCCTAGAGCCCCAAAAACCCTGAAACCAAATTCTGAAGCCGTAAGTTCCGGGTATGATGGAGCTGCATGGTTTCATGGCCGTTACAACAAGGGCACACACACGCACATATATGTTGAGTGTTCCCAAGGGTTCGAAAGGCTTTGGTGGGGTTCTTTAGAGTTTACCATCGGCTTTGCAGGGCTCATGTGCTTATCTTGCACAGATGTTGGCCTTAAGGTGCTGCCACGAGGGCTGATATTGATGTTCGAAATTACGTGTTTATACATATGCGCGCACACACACACATGTGCATATATCTCTACTCTCGTATATAAGCCTCTATACACACATGCAAGCAAGCAAGTAGGCAAGCAAGCAAGCAAGCAAGCGGGCAGCCAAGCAAGCATGTATGCAGGACATTCATGCATACATGCGTACGTGCATACTACATAGGGACTGGGACCATAGCATCAGGCGGCGCTGACTGAACAGTAGAAGGGCTAGTAAAGGCCCTGTCTTGTCCCCACATGGTCAACCCATTTCCTTGCCTGAGGAGCGCAGCTAGCGAAGCTATATCAGTAGCTTCGGGCTTCCTGGACCCCAGGTTCATAAAAGACGGCGCTAGCGGCTTGCAGACTGATTTCTCCGCACTTATACTACCCTAAGCTGGAGACAATCAGTTCTGCCCACCGAAACCCTATCCTGCTTGCTCATGTCCCTGCATTACCATGTCTAGCTTAGTTTTGAGGCCTGGTTCCACGCTCTGGTGAGTCGAAGCCGGTATGAGTACATGATAGGGCCTTTCGGCTTTGGGGTTTAAGGACAAGTCCATGCAGCTGCCCCGTAGCATCAAGATTCCAAGCCCTGATCTCTGAAACCCAAGCCTTAAACCCTGAGCTCTAAACCTTAAAACCCCAAACCTGAACTCCAACCCTGAACCCTGGCTGTCGGGCTTTGCCAGGAGCTAGCCAGGACCAGGCCGAGGAATTCAAAGCCCTCGTTGATGCGTCCGGGCCTTGGCAGACGAGGGCTCAAGGTTTAGGGCTTAGGGGGCGGATTTCGGAGGCCGGTACATGAGGGGTTTAGGGTTTAGGGTTTAGGGTTTGGTATATGAAATCATGGATAAGGCCGGCGCCCACTGACAAGACTCTTTGTTTGTTTGCGGCTTTGCCGATGAACAGACGCCGCAGACAGACAAACAGCCTTCAACCAAGGTTCAGGGGAACGAGGGTAGGTATAGGGTAAGAAGATCTTTCGGAATTGAGGCGGGCTTTCGGTTGATATTCCTATCATCTCCTCTTCGTGCCTTGCGGCGAGGCAACTAAACTACTGCAGCAGCTAGAAGCCCCATGGCCCCTGCATTGGTGCATCGGTCCTGCAAAGCCTATTGATGTAAAACTCTCAGTAACAACCCCCCTCCAACTTTAGAGGGATTATCATAAGAATCCTAAAGGTAGAGCCCTTGAAGACATAGGGTCTATTCATCAGGCACCTACTGTATATACATCCTGCCTGTCACGAAGCATCGTAAATTAAACCACCTGCACCTAAACCTCCCTGCCCTGAATCCTGCTCGCAGCGTTTCGGCCCGCGTGCACTTTGGTCAGATACAAGATGGACGTCCAGACGCCCGTGAAAAAGAAGCGCAGCCAGGATTACTTGGCCGAGACCACCGAGAAGGCACCGCGACCGGCAGCCACGAAGATCGAGGAGGGCGGTGACAAGAAGCAAGTGATCAATGAGAAGGACTTGTTGCGAGTAATTTGTTTCTTTGCTCCTGTGCCTACCGAGTTCCTCCACGACGGATCTTATTGCATGTGTTGAGCCTACACGTGCACAGAGTTGCGGCCCCTAAACCCACAAACCTTAAAGCCCTAAGGCCCTTTAAAGAAGCTTCAAAATCTCTTGAAGGATGTCGCTGTGGATCCGAGGGGCGAGGAGCTTTTGGAACTCCAACTCCAGGCCTTGCAGGTTCTCTTGGGTTCCTATGGGTGTTAACATTAAGGGGCTTAATGTGGGTTTAGGGTTTATAGGTCTTAGGAAAAAGTTGGGTTCAGGGTAGTATATACGAGTTCTACGAGGCCGCAAGAACAAGCAACATGGGACACCGTGAGAGTGCGCCTTTGCCCGTCTGTGGGGCTAGAGAAACGTGTCTAATGTAGGGGCCTAAATATTTACCAATACTGTTTGGGGGTTCCTTATTATAATCATAGTATAAAGGGCCCCAAAAGAAGAGTCTTGCGAGCGTTCTGTAGGGGTCCTAGCAGGTAAGTTGGGGAGCCTTGCAGAAGATTCAGTAGTTAAGTGCAGTCCCTGCTCATGTTGGAAAATGTTCTGCATTTGTGTGGAACTTAAACATACAAAAGTCTAAGGTTTGGGGTCTGAATAATAAGCACCACGAAGTCCCCTAAAGGGACGAATGTCTCCTAAACCTCGGTAGTGAAGCCGGTGCTCAGACGATGGAATACGAGAGACCCTACGTAACGTAGACCCGAAAAACGAGTTTCGTTACGAAAGTCACCATGTGTTGGAAACCACAAACTTCAAGAAATCTCCAGGTGATAGACGAGGAGCATTTCTTCGAGCTCGATGGCAATCTTTACAAAGTCATGGATCCGAAAGCGCTGGTCGAGGTTAGCCATGTGCGACCGAAAAAGCAGGCCAACGCTGAACAGCGAAAGTTGTCTGGCTTCAAGCAATGGTATGCAAACAGGCGTGGGGTCTTCTAAGCGCGGCCTTCGGATACAAACTACGTTGTTGATCTAAGAGCTTCTGATAGACCTACACAGAGCATCTACCAGCAAGCACCGCCCTCAGTTGGAAAGACCCACACGTCTCGGGGAGGTGAGCTGTAGAGCGCTTTGCAGCTTCTTTGGTCTGATGCTGCCACTGCCAGTGCAGTGCGGCTGCCTGCAGTCAATGAGGAGTTTCTGAAACTGGAGCGAGCTTTTTTGATTCAGATTGTACAGTCAACCTGCCAGCCCTACCATTTACAGTCATACACATACCAGATCATATATATATATATAGATTTATTTATTTATTTTTGTTTGTATACAAAAGATGAAAAGAAATGTGTGTACATATATGCGTATGTATATGTATATGCACGCATGTTGGAAAATATTTACACACACATTTGCATGTACATGGACATATACATATACAAAAAATATGTCACTGTATAACTCTATATATATATATATGTACATCTAAGATGTATATATATATATGTTGCTACAAAAAATAAAGGCATCAAAATGCATGTCTTCATGCACTGTGGTTAGATACGGAGGGAACGAAATGGAGGTGGTGCGAGAAGGGCCGGTTGGCCCGATGGTTTTACCGCCTGGAGTGGCACCGCCTGCATTTCGGAGAGGCGAGCATGAGCTAGCGTGACATACATACCTGTGTGACATATTGTCACATCAAACTTGACGGTCAGCATGGGCGCACCAACAATCGTTGGTGTGTGCCTGGCAGCAGAAACCCGGACGGCCGAAAGCTCTACATCACCACACCGCCGCCGGAGCTCGTCTGACATCCGTGAGACATGCTCGGTAAAGACGTGCCTAATGTCAGACACGGCCGCGGCGAGCCGTCCGGAAGATGTCTAAGCCGGTTCCACTCCCTCCTCCACACGGACCCGTCCGATCCTCAAAGCATGCGACGGTCATGCCTCAGTCATATAGCAGCCCGACACCAGGCCTCAATCCTTCGACGCCAGAGCGTCAACGAGGAGACAAGGTTGGCTTTGTGTGTAAGTTGCAACTTCAAGGCCTCCTATCATCTCCCTGAATGCAGATTCCGCTGAAGCGAGCGTCTCCTTCGGACATGTCCACAAGGCCCTCACAGCACTGCCGTATACAGTCTTGTGGACGCTGAAGCCTTGCTGCATGCAGGTGACTGTTCTCAGCTTTAGAAAGCTGAGAAAGCTTCTGTGGCACACTGCTGAGTCGTTGCATCACCTGTGGCAGGTGCCGCTTCGTCACTATGTCAAGATCAGCTAGCCAGTTATGGTCCTGTAGAATATAGAGACTAGAGAGCTTATAGGCGAGTGCCGACACGCTCATGTCGAGCAGAGGCTGCGCCAAATTGGCTTTTGCGTCAGACAATCTGCGTCTACTGAACTGAAGGCCACATGTTGCTAGGTGCACCTGGCAGTTCACAATTCGCGCAAACCCAGCTGTGCTCTCAGACCTAGACCTGTGAAGTCAATGCGTGCAGTGTGTTTTGACCCCACTGTCGTTTGTCAGGCTTTGCTGCGCGGACTGTCGCAAACACGACATGCAGAACTGCGCCTGAAACAGCTTGTGAATGCTGCTTTTATTTGAATGCAAATGTATGGGTAAATGTATATGTATATGTGTATGGATGGATGGATGGATGGATGGATGGATGGATGGATGGATGGATGGATGGATGGATGGATGGATGGATGTATGTATGTATGTATGTCTGTTTGTCTGTCTGTGTGTGTGTGTGTGTATGTGTGTGTGTGTGTATGTGTATGCGTATACATACATGTTTGTCTGTCTGTGTGGCTGGGCCCGTGTGGCTGGCCGCCTGCCTGCCTGGCTGGCCGGCTGCACGCATGTGTATGTGTGTGAGTGCATGTCTATCTGTCCGTCTCCATGTAGATCATGTAGGAATGTCTGTCTGTATGTTTGTGTGTGTGTGTGCGTGTGTGTGTGTGTGTGTGTGCGTGCATGAATGTATATGTAAACCTTTAAATATGTATCTAGAATCTAGAACTTATGTATATGTGAATGTACACGTGAATGTAATGTGTATATACGTAACAAAATATATAGATGGAGACAGATGTCGGTGATTTTTCGTCTGCACAGATAAACCACACACACATACATATGCTCATGTACATAACCCTAATATACACACATATATACATGACAGAGATGCAGATCTTCAGATATACAGAACTGTATGTCACGTGTAGGTGTATGCAGATATGCGTATAGAGAGATAGAGACATAGGCATAGATACATATGTGTAGATGTATACTAATGCTGTGTTTATTGGTATGTGCTTGTGTGTATAGGGTTTACAGGTTATAGATGTATATGCCAGAAAGATGGGCAGCAGCTAACCAGACATGTCGGAGTTGTACACACATACACATGTTCATATGATATGTGTGGAACTCTAAAGCCCTGGACTCTAGATTCAACTTCAACGTCTCCCGTTTTCTGAAACTCCTCACAAATCTACGGAATCTACGGCCTGCGGCACTGGGGCAAAAAGGAACCACTCTCCACGGCTTCCGCGTGCATCAAATAGTAGGTTCCTAACCATGTCATGGGGTTTAGGGTTTAGGGTATACTTGTCCTAACCATGTAATGGGGTTTAGGGTTTAGGGTATAGTTGTCCTGACCATGTAACATATAACCCCCAAACCCGTTTTTAGGCAGCTGCCGCCCTCCGGAGCGCCTTGCCTTTCACACCAGGAAGTGGCTAGTGGACGTCCGTTCCCCGGACTGGCCCTTGCGCGATGTGGTGGACGATGTTGCAGCTTTGGTGGACTTTTCGCCGACGCCAAGCAAGGCTGGGACGGTGTAGGCGTCCAGCGTTTGCATGAAAAATTGTTGACTGATGCTAGACTAGTGCTACGGATTGAGTGTTCACGGAGCAACGCACCTGGCCAGAAACAACCCGAGCGTTAACTCCGCAGTGGGCCCTAAACCCGGCACAGTATCCCGCCGTTTTACAACTTGAATATCATGAAGGCCGAGGATTTGTCAGAATCCGCACCCAATGTGTCCACTTGGGGCAGGAAAGGCTGTAAGTATTTAAATGGTGTCGCAGTTGGATGGTAGCCTAGAGATGGGGGTTCCTGAGGCCCTCATACCCCCACTTGTTGACAAGCGTTCTTCAAGCGACAGGCCTGCATGGAGGTATCGAGCTCAGACGACTCATGCCGCACGCCGCCCCATGGCTTTGGGAAGGGTTTCAGATTTAGGATCTATCCGTTTCAGGCTTTGAGATTGGATGCGCTCCTTCCGGGCAAGGAAGGCAGATCTGCGAATTCCGTTAGGGTTTTCGTGTGGTGCTGAGTTCTCAGAAGGTAGCGACGGCAAGGTGCGCTCTTGCGATTGGTTGAGGATGTTCCTTAAACGTTGTTCCCGGATTGGTTCAACACGTTCCGGCTGAGCTTGTCTGCCGTTCCGGGATTGCAGGCTTGTTCTTCTTCTCATGGTTATTTTTGTCGAAATTATTGCTTTTCAATATATTTACTGGATGGAGGGGGTTACACGACCCAACCGCGGGAACTTGGTGCAATCGCGGTGTGCCATGTGGTGTGCGGTAATCCTTCTGTGAAAACATTACTCCTAATTTTTATTACTACTATTACTACTACTACTACTACTACTACTACTACTACTGCTACTACTCTCATATTCGGTCCACCCAACCCCACATCGGGCTCAGGCCACGTTGTGACGCCATCCTTTCCTGCGGCCCCGAACTTTTCTGGTAGTGTTGAGGGTTTAGGCCCCCGACCCGAAATCAAGCTTCATGCGAGCACACAAGGACAGCCAGTTGATAGATTCTGATAGATAGTGTCGGGGCTCGATGGCTTTGATGATGAAGGTTTCAGAGTTTAGGATATCAGGCTGTGAGCGGAGGTCTACAGTAACACAAGCTGCTGGTTATCCTTCATGGAAGCTTCGAAACATCTGGGACCTCAATACACAGGCACGAAATAGTTCGGCCCCTTATCTTATAGCAAGGGCCTCTGCATAACGCATGATATTCCAACCAACAGCCCTTAACCCTAAACCCTTACCGCCTAGGGCCTTGTGTCATGGTGCTGCAGCGCAGAGCCAGAGAGCCACTGCCGCACATGGCATGCTTTCTCTGATGACTGCTTTAGTCATCCCAGAAAGTTGGAACATAGGTTTAGGATGATTCATGCCGGGATTTCCTTACTTCGCTTCAAGGGCATGAGGATACTCATGTTCCAAGTTTCTGGCTTGTACTGGAGCGTCTGGTAGCCCGAAACCCGAAACCCGCCAAAACTACCGGAAACAAATGAGAAACTAAAGCCCTTCAGCACGACATACCGAAGTCCTCGGATCTGTTATCGGTTTGTTCCACTCTCCATACTGTTTGCTGAGTTTTGGGGTTTTGCAGCTGGCAAAGCTCGGGGTTCAAAAAGGGTTTGGGATGTGTTTCGATTCTGCTGTTCGTGTCGACTTGTGTCAATGCTCTATGCGTTCTGGTCATTTGTGCAATGAGAGTTTCGATGACGTACCCACGAAACCCGAAACCCCGGTAACGGGCTGTTCAAGCTCAAGACTTATCTCTAAATCCTCAGTCCCAAAACGAACAAGAGGAAGCCGTCTGAGCCCATATAAAGCTATTTAGCTTGTGGTCTCATGGTGCCGCGAAAACTGAGTTGAGGTCTGAGGTCCTCGAGACACTTCGGCAATTGCTATAGCTGCTCCCCTTATCCTACATGATAATTACTGCTAGTGTCTATGCAATGAGAGAGTGCCACTAGTTTCAGTCTTAAACATCTTGTAGACTGGGCAAAGAGCCGAGGAGCTTGTCCGAGGAGTTGCGCACGGCTTTTAGCCACGCGCCGCTTTGATTGACTTGAGGCTCTTCGTTTGGAGTGTGGTGCTTTGGACGGTTTGGGGCTTTGCCTGCTGCAGCGCAGGTTCTTGGAGTTGTAGCCAGGAGACTTTGTGACTTGACTGAAGGAAGTCCAGGATGCCCGCGCCATGCTGTGAAATCCGACTACAACTCCTAACCTTCCTCTTCTTTTAAAGGGACGGCGCAGATGCCAGTGCTGCATGTTATGTTCACTTGATTCCGAGCCGTTTCAATTCATGCTGCACACGAAACCGCCTTCGGCTCAAACTGTCGGCAGTTTCTCTTTGGATGCTGCAGTGGGTAAAGAAAGTCTTGAAGGAGGTTATACCGGGGTCTGAACAGTCAACAAATATCAAAAAATTAGTAAGAATGATAAATAAACTGTGAATAACAACTACCTTTACCGTCCATACAACTATAGTTATACACTTTGTACATATATATATATATATATATGTATGCGCAAACCTTATCCTAACTACCAAAGCATCTATTGCTAGCAGTGTAGCATGTTATTCAAGGAACTTTTCCTTGCACGCGCCCATTGTCATCACGAGTTGTGAACCCGAGATGGTCAAAAGTGGACCTTCCCTATCATGTCCGATCGCTGCTGCATGAATCAGGAACACTACTTGGAGTCAAATCGGACTCATATCCGAGTCCACATCATTCTAGATCAGAGCGTTCCAGTACATCCTGATTTTCCCGAAGGCAGGTCAAGGCTTGTAGCATTTAGGGTGTAATATAGGGGTTTCAATAGTTACCTGTATATTATTAGTTCCTTATTTTATAGTTATACTATAAAGGACCCCCAAAACCCTATTCTAATTGTTCAGGCCCCTAGAGTAGGCAAGTGAAGCCATGGAGGGTCTCGTGCCCAGCCCACGCCATCTCGGAGTCCTGCGGCACAGCCTGCCGCGCGGCACCCTCGCCCGGGAAACCGAGGTACCACGGTAATATAGGGGCCTTAGGAGTTAGAATAGCGTCTGGGCTGGGTTTGGGGTATAATTATATGTATATATATATATATATACTATAACTATAATAAGGAACCCCCAAAACCCTATTCTATTTTTTAAGGCCCGTACATTATTTCGTTTCAGCTTTGTTGGGTCCTGAAAGAGTGACTAAAGCGGCTATGGGTAGGGGGGGGTACTTGAGGACGGGTTATAGAGGTTACCACAAGGTTGGTTACTGTAAGGGTTGCTATCCAAACGGTTGTCATTATACAGGTTACTTTGTCATAGTTGGGTAACATTTTATATTTTTAAGGGTACTTAAACCCAATAAGGAATATACATTTACATTTTTAATACTACCCCAACCATGAACTAGGTTATCAAGCGCTACTTTCAGGTTTAGGACCCCAGGTCACTTCGAATCATGGTGGTTGAAGCTCTGGACCTTGAACAACCCTAAGCACTAGTCACCAGACGAAAGCTTCACGCTGGGATGTCGATGACTGCCTCCTTATTTTATGTATCCTCGCGTCTGAAAGTTCAGAGGCTGCGCTTGCTCAAGTTGAGTCATCATGGCAGAAAGAGACAGGTTGTCGAGTCAGCTTTCATTGCTTGTTGTGGAAAGTTACCACAAATACCTTGACAAAGACTCATTCTGTCTCTGGAGGTTGTTTCTCCAACACGCGTGGCGGCACCACGTAGGAGCAAGTCGCTGACACCATGGGAGACCTTCAAGCGGCTCTGCTGCAGTACTCATCCATGCAGTCACCATAGTTCAGGCAACCACTGTACTGTGCCTGAAGTCATCGAGATGTCCGATAAGCAAAGTAAGGATGCGATGATACATGCTAATTTCATCATGGCTCGCTGATGTTGAACACCCCGTGGTAGTGCAACATCATCGTCATCTGTTTCCTCCTCCTTCTGCTGCTCTTCTTCGCCATGCTTGTGCTGGAACTGAGTCAAATGCCACAGCGGTTCACCATTCTTCAACTCATATCATCAATCACCCAATGCGTTTGAGGTCAGTGTGTCAATCCCGCACAAGCAACCTCACAATCATCCGGAAGTCGAAGCCCAAACGACGCCACCCCCCCCCCCTCCCTGGTAGCAGCAAGCTGTCTAAACTTTCTGGCCACCGTGCGAAAGTCTACTTCGACTGCACAGCCTGGGGCTGACTGACCCTGAACCCTAGACTCCTTAGACCCCAAGGTCTGACTGATACCCGCAAGACTGGAAAGTTAAAGCACAAACCCGGAATCAGTTCAGAGGCAGTCTTGCTGGCTCATTACGGATTACGTAGTTTTTAGCCTGCCTGCGTGGATTTATGAACTAAACACTACACCCTACCATATTGAAAGCTACATCTTGTCTGGGCCGGTGAAGTCAGCGAGGCAAAAGGCCCCGGCCAGCTGCCCTAAATCCGGGTGGGACAAAATAACACCCTAAACCCTGGACCCTCTTGTGGGCATTGACTGGGTTCTTGTTAAAGGATTTAATTTAAGTTGCGACAATAAGGAAACCGTATTATTTATTATAGATCCCTATTATGGTAACTTAAATTAAATTCCTTAACAAGAACCCAGTTGATATCTAGCCATGCGAGAGGGAAAAAAACCCTAAACCCTAAACTAGGCCAGGGAGGATCTGTTCAGTATCACCCCGACCTAACACTGTGGAACCTCGCCTGGCATGTTCGAGTTGTGAGAGCGTAAACTGCTAAACCCGAACCCTAAGCCACTAAAGGTTCTACCTCCGGACCTCGGCCATCCTTCGTGCCTGCCGCTCTTTTCTCCCCGGCAGCAGGAGCTGTGCTTGGTTTTGGGGTGCTGGGCCTTTCCTGTTGATTTAGGGCTTCGGGCTTTAGGGGAGTGATACGGTTGATGATACAAATCCTGCATTATCTTAAGGACCCTAAACTGTGGGAGTTATGGTATATTCCTTATTATGGGTAATGCAGGATTTATATCATCAACCGTTGTGGTCATGTGTTTGCCCTGAAGGTACCCTATAGATCCCTTAAAGGATCCCTTAAAAAGGAGCCGGCTCTGGGAGCCTTCCCGCCAGGAGCAAGCGCCGTGTGGGGCAAACCGGCCAGGTAACGACGCCGGAGATGATGGAGCTCACGGCCTGCCTGGGTTACTTTTTGGCTTTAGGGCATAAGGGTTTAAGGGTTTCGGGCTTAAGGATTTAAGGGTTTAGGGTTTAAGTTTAAGGGTTTAGGGTTTAGGGCTTTTTGTCGTGAAGGGTCTGGGTCTTCCAGGGCTTATAGGGCTTAGGGCTTCGGGTTAAGGCCTCCAGCCCCCGGCCTTTGCGTGCAGCTTTTTGTTTCTTAAGGGTCTTTTAGAGCCTCATGGGGTTTGATTCAACTCGAAAGGGTGAGAAGGCGTTTTTGGATGGCAGAGCTTTTCTTGTCAGAGGCCATTGTGTAGGTTTGCATGAACGGGTGTCGACTAGGTACCGATTTGCGATCTGTTTGCCGTTGGAAACTGCCTGCAGCCTTGGTTCATGCAGAACCACTATGAGCGCTGTGGAAACCGAAACTTAGTGGCTGCTTGAATTTCCCTGCAATGGAGCGTTCGCAGTTTAAGGGTTCTGCACGGGATCCATAACGGCTCAAGGTTTGGATACTAGCTTGCACATGTAAGATCGATTGTGTGTCTTTGGTATCTACCTATCTACCTGTCCTCCTACCTACCTACCGACCTACCTACCTACCGACCGACCTACCGACCTACCGACCTACCGACCTACCGACCTACCGACCCACCTACCTACCGACCGACCTACCGACCTACCGACCTACCGACCTACCTACACACCTACCTACCTACCTACCTACCTACCTACCTACCTACCTACCGACCGACCTAGCGACCGACCGACCGACCGACCGACNNCCGCCCTACCGACCTACCGACCTACCGACCTACTTACCTACCTACCTATCTATCTATCTATCTATCTGTCTGTCTATCTGTCTACATATATACACACATTTTTGTCGAGTATGTCTTGATGTGATATGTTGTCCTCGAGCAGGAGTGGAGCCATGGAGTGTAGAGCTGAAGTCATTCCCGGAGCGACGAGAGCAGCTTTGCAACCAGCACAAGGAAGGGTTTAGGATTTGGTAGCAAATCGGTTTCGGTCAGGGTTTCCCCTAACAGCCTGAAAAATTTCTGTTATCTCGGCCAAGTTCTGGAAAGCGCAGGGAAAAAACTCTGGACCGTGAAACCTTTGGGTAAATCCATAAAAGCACCGGGCATTGGACCAAGCAGCTGGGTGGTTCTTCACCGGCTGGTCTTGTTAGCCGTCAAAACGGTTGACTTGAGCTTGCCCGCTCCCCAAACCCTGCAACCCTAGAGCCCGAAGCCCTAAACAGCTCGGAAGAGGCCAACGCTCCGCAAAAGATCGCCATCCTCTGCACGGACGAGTGCAACTCCCGACACCTGAAGGAGATCGAGATGCTCAGCCGCGCCCATGCGGTGACTGAGCATGAGGGAGGTAGTCCCGGAATTTCGGCTTCCTTAGATCATGGAGCTCGCATACATATAGGTACTCAAATCAGAACATGAGTCTATATGTAATTTACGTATGCGTGTAGGAATGTATGCATGTCCATAGGTGCGTATGTACGTGCAGTATAGGTCGGTGGGTAGAGAGGTTGGCAGGTTGGCACCCCAAGTCTTAAATGATGTTTTAATTCTGTGTTCCTTAGGAATCATTTGTTGTTGCAACATGTAGACCGTTATTAACCCAAGAGGTCATTAGCAAAACATTGTTGTCATTATCTGTTTCAATGGCTTGAGGTAAAGGTGAACTGTGGACGCCGCATCCAAGACAATCCAAAACCACTTTTCCAGCAACATTCCTTCCAAGAGCTCATGGCTGCCTTGGAAGCTGGGATCCCGAATCAAGTGAGTTGGATTTCAGCTTCAAGGTAGAATTCTTACAAACTTGACAGACAGTTCTTACACAGCGTTTTCGGGTCCTTGGTGCAACCCCCGTTATAAAATGATTTAAAAG